TGGAATACATATTGTGTTAAATATACATAACTATGAATTTACCTAATGTTTTGATGACACTCATTAAACCATAATTATTAGTATTATTATACTGTAGCGAACCTGTTCAGRTTGTACAATTCTTATTTCATSAATTGGAGAATCTATACAATAGAGTAAATTTAAAARTACAATAATAAAATAAAAAGTTATAATTAGCTAATTATTGTTAACAATATATATATTTACTTGAAAAATCTTCTTATTGCAGTTTATCAATATTAAATAGGTATTTATTGTTATTTGGAGTCATAAATGATKATGTTGATATATTTTACTAAGCTCATTATTGTTTTCGAATGAGAGAAAATTACTTGCGTAATTTTTTACTACGAATATCCCAATAGGGCCAATAGTTAATAGTCATATATGTATTATATACACGAGTACTTTTAGTAGTAGGTTATTAAACCTATGAAATATGGATAGGTATTATAACTATTAATATTATGTAACTATATAGTAGAACATGCATTTTTAGCTATACTTATTAGTTTATTACCTTATTTTGCCCGTGAAAAATTGTAAAATATAAAATATAATGTAATATATTACAATAGATGTATATTGATTTTAGTGTACCTCAGGTCACCGGTAAATTGGCGTTGGTAACCGCAGTGTCTCTATCTTTATTGTAATCTAATTCGACTGAAATCGACAACTCGCCTGCTGTGGATTGGATATAGTCTGATAGAAATGGTCAACTAGTTTTTGTCGGAGTTGGTAAATTGAGTCCCAAATGACCCTAACTCGGTAAATTAAGTCCCGGGGAAAAATAGATAGTAGGTAAGTTGAGTCCCACAAAAAATAAGATAGTAGGTAATTTGAGTCCCAGGGAAAAACGATTGGGCGGTATTGGTTTGCGCACAAATACCAAAAAGACAACTTGTTTGGGCACAAAACTACCACTCGTTTGGGAACAGTTGAACCGTAACCAACTACCAAGCACATGGTTTGCGAACAGTTACCTTTTAGCCTAACCTTTTAGACCTTATAGTTTAATACCTACCATATTAATATTTGTTTATTTATAAGTAAATTATTAAAGTACTTAAATACATTTTCCATCTCACTTAACAGACTTAGGACTGTCTATGAATACCTATATTCATAGGTATGGTTAAAAATGCTTGTTAATATTTGCTTTTCAATAATAATTGTTAATAAATTTATAATATGTTAAAAATGCATGTTAATACTTGCTTTTTAATAATAATTGTTAATWWATTTATWATATGTTAAAAATGCATATAATATAATACTTGTTTGTGTAAATTTTAATTTTAATTTTAATRTAATATGATTGGTAAACGTGYCTATTATTTTCCGTAAAAACAGTTTTCCATTATTTTTATGTATTTCATTTGGTCTATTTCGCCAGATTATATGCATTTAAAATTTAAAAATATGCACTATAAAATTCTTATCTGTGATTTGTGGACATTCATTGACTGCATGTATATGATTTTGAAAATAGCAACATGCATTTTTATTGCATAAAAAATAATTATATAATTAATAAAAATACATGTTGCTATATTCAAAATCATATACATGCAGTCAATGAATGTCTACAAATCACAAATAAAAATTTTAAAGTGCATATTTTTAAATTTTAAATGCATATTATAAATCGTTTTTCCCTGGGACTCAAATTACCTACTACCTATTTTTACCCGGGACTCAATTTACCGCTTTCAAAATGTACCAAACTTATCTCGGACTCAATTTACCTAGCCCCGTTTTTGAGTATATAAACTATAAATATACATAATCATTTCTGTTGTTATTTTTGTTTTTAAGATATAATTTCTTTGTTCGAGGCAATAATATACTCGATGATTTGATACATCCTTTTAACTCTTCTATCAGAGTAACCAATAGCAAACACTTATGTAAAAAATAAAACTACTAATCTACTAATTTTTTCGTATTATTCCTTTTATTTATGRCAAACATTTATTAACAAAAAATTTCTATTTACGTCCTAAATCTCAAAATCTTCGAGTGAGCAACCCTTTAAAATGCAAATTTTGGAAAAAWTTTTCTTACTAATCCCCTACATAYGAAGGTACCATGAAAATTGAATCTCCAAGTAGGTATCATAATTATTTAACATTGCTGTAATGTACCTATTTTGCCTATACAATACGCCGGTCAACACTTTATGTTTTTTCCAAATATAATGATAATATTCAAATAATTAGTTTTTTAAACTCATTAAATGTTTACTATGATTAGTATATTTTAAGTATTTTATTGATTTTTGATTTTTTGAAGAAGGATACATAAATTTACGCAGTTTTACCAATTGTTCAATACATACATATTACAAAAGAAATGAATACCTTTTTTMATTTATTAACATAATATCATTAATTTTATTATGAGCATTTTTATTTTACAATTTATTATAGGCGTATAACTCACTTAAAAAGTAAAAACTGAATTATCGTAAAATACTTCCAATAATACACAGATGATGTTCCTATTATCAAGTTTCTAATTTTTAAGTTAACAGAGTAAAACATGAACTATAATATGTTACATATTTATAAGACTGAGACAACAAATACCGGTGTTGCGCCCTCTTAAACATGTTTTTATCTAGTAATGTTTTCTTAGAAAATAAATGGTCAGTATATAAAATGTACGTTTATATGTATATTGTAATTTTCTATACTTGCAATATATGTGTAAAAAAATACAGTTAATTTTAATTTTATTGAGTTTGATAATTAATTCATTAACCAATCAAAATTATAGTAAAYTAACCTCTTATAATTTAAATTTTTAGTAATTTTAAACACTCAGTTCAATATTTCAAATTTTAAGACAATAACTGAGGATCATGTTTATAATTGTTACTTTCTGGACTATTATTGATTACATCATGGGCCATGGCTAATGGCTAAATAACATAGTCATTCAGTCAAGTATAGTCGTAAAAACCTATTGGGAAAATGGGAACTTCTGAATTTCTTATGTATAGGTGGCTGAACGTTTTTTTTGTTTTTTTAATAATTATTCAGTCCATGTTCTTATAAAATATATGTAACATTAGACACAACAAGTTGTTTTATTGATCAACTAAAATCTATAATAAGTAATAAATATTCAAGTATTTAGTTTAAAATGTATAAAGTAAATACAACAAAAATAAATACATACATAGTACATCAATTAACATATAAAAAATATAAATATATATTTAATACTATAACATTGTTAAAAATATGAAATAAAATTTAAAAATATCAAAATGTATTGTAACAGATAATAGCTAAAAGCGAAAAAGAGAAAAACATTATAATATTAATGAAATGTTTAAGATAATATTTGGCACATAAAAGTAACATATAAGAATAATCATCACAACATTATTGCAAGAATATTTAGCATTTTGATTAATACTCAACATAGTGTATAAGCAAACTATCATATTTTAGTAACAAATATAATATATTCAGAACATTTTATTTGAAAAATTCTGGATATTTTAAATAAATTTCCTTAATAATACAGACATCTTGATCTTTTGTACATGAATTATCATCAACAAGAATTTCTTGAAGGCAATTATTTAAATCTGATAATTTATGTCTGCGGTCTAAATATTCTGTATTAAAAATCACATTCTTACAAAGTTCCAAATATGAAGTACGAGCCTAKACAAAATAAAACAAGACATTAATAAATCATTGAATGACATGTACATATTATGTAGTTAAAAATGAAAAATGTATTCAATTCATTACCATTTCATCAGATGGAATATTCAATAGTTGACGTATAATAATATCAACTAAAACTTCTATATCATTAACATAAAATAGTTTAGCAGTTTTTGAGTCAGCAAGAATGTCATTTAACAATTTTTCTACAGAGTTTTTTGGCTTTTTCTTCAATTTTAAAATTTGAACTGGATCTTCTATTAAAATGTTTATTGTATTGAATATATATAATATATATGGTTAATGTTTATTTATCATTTTAAGAAAAATATTGTACTAACTTTCAGTATTAAGTAAAATCAATAAATTTTCAGTAAGTACTTTGGCATTGTCTCTCTGGGCCAGTCCTTTTAAAGTTATGTTTGATTCAATTTCAGAAAACTGAAGATTATAAGAAAGCAATAAATTGATCATGCATTCAGTTTTTTTTTCATCATTAGAAGATTTCAGTTCATTATCCTCTATATCACTTAGTATTTTGGTAACAAAGTCCACATTCATATATTCTGTGAAATTAAAATTAAAATCAAAATATTTTATTGGAAACTTTATAAATGTATAACATTTTTACCAAAGCAAGAAATTGGTAAAGTCTCTCCAACCGATAAAATTAGTGTTAGAAATTCAGCAAGAATGACTTGCTTGTTTAAATCTTCTTTGTTATTTTGCAAATCTCTAAACATAACATTTGATTTGAGTTTTTATTATTAATCAATATACAAAATGTGTAGTAAATAAAAAATGTAATATTTAAGATTTTTAATTTCATCACTGTAGGAAATATTATTTAAGAAAACAATAAAGTACTCTAGGTGTGCCAAAGTCAAAAATGATCAATATTTTTGAATAATATTTATGTCTAATGGATATGATCTTTAAATATTATAGTGCATTATTCAATGTATACCAATATGGTTCATGTACAGTGTGAGTGATATAATAGGGTTTAGTATGTAATAAAAAACTTCTTGGGATCTATGAACTATATGGCTCTAATGTCAGTATCTGTTACAAAACAGTATATTTATATAAAGCATAATCAATAGTTATATCATTTTAATATTTTTTATTAAATTTAAAATGAATAATATTATGTGTTTGTACATAGAGTTTTTAAGTTATTTCAATTTTCTACAATTTATGAGAATTTTAAAAATTCTATATTTCAARACGCTCATATCTTATTTAAAATTAGAAGATCATAAAATAGTCATTATAGTTACAAATGTAATGTTCTAAACAACAATTTTGAAGTTAATTCACTTGAATACTAAATCCATAGACATTATACTACTAAACAATTAATGAGAGAATGAAAAACATGGCAACATATAGCGAGCTCATTATTTACTCGATTACTCAAATACATGATAATGTWGGGTAGTAGAGTAAGGTATATATACATATTATAGTGTTTTGTCATATCTATGAAGCATGTTAGCACACCTCTCGTAATATTATTGTWATACACAGTTCTTGATTAGTAGTATACGATCTAATAATATATATATCTAACAACAAATGGTTGATTTTACTGAACGTAAAAGTGTATTACGTTTGTATGAGTCAGAGAAATAAAATTAATAGTTAGCTGATATTGTGTTATAGCTATACAGTTACCCATTATTAAAAATATAAAACTAAATAGTTCAATATCCACTATTTGTTATTGATTAAGAATAAATTAATGCATAGCAATAAATATAAAGTTTTATCTAAATTTGAAATATTTACTTATGGAGAAAAAAATAGGTACCTAGCTAATTCCATGGGCAGTATGGAGTTGATTATAATTTCAACAACAACAAAATTGAGTTTGCATAGTTCTGAAAATATAATAAGCAAATGTTTTTGAATCACCCATCGTAGTTCCATTTGGTAATATTCCAATAAATTATTAATTGATGTATACTGGTCGATTTTTAATATATGATTTATAACCATTGGATCTGCATTTTTCTATAATAAACACAATAAAACTAATTTTGTATTATAAAAGCATATACTCTGTACATTTTAAGTTTGAGATTGGTATAATTGATTCTAGTGTTTCCTATCATTACAAATTAATATTTAAAAATATATTATAAAGGAAAAAATGTTATTCTAAATTAGAATTTTAAATCCTTTTATATGCTGATACCCATGTATTATTTTTATAAAATAAATAACATAGTAGAATGTAGATTTTTAAATTAAATWAAAAAAAAAATGTAATTTGTATTATCTGAGAGTTTTAACAGTGTTAAAAATTATATTCAATATCATGAAAAAAATTGCTCTGATATAAATCATAAATGTAATAAAATAGTTACGTACAAATTAAAAATGATTTTGTTTAATTACAACTGTGGACTGATAGAAATAATTTTATATTTAATGGGATATTTAATTTAATAAATAAATAAGAATAATTAATTACCAAAATGCTTGTGAGCTCTATTAAACAGTCTTCAATTTGAACATGATCATCAAATATTTGCCATGAACGTTGTTGTGAATCTTCTTTAGCAGCTGTTAAGTATTCCAATAACTGTTGCATGCATTTTCCATCCTTAGTATTTTCCAAACTTTCTACTGGTAATGTTGCACTTGTAGGTGGAAAATTATTAATAATTTTGCGTACGCTACTGAGACTAGACTTTGCTGATTCATCAACTAGATCAGACAAATATTGAATCACAACAGAGACAGCTACTTGAGAGAAATTGTAAGACAATCCTGTATGATTTCTTACCTAAAACACCAAAATGTTAATATTATATTCTTATGTATAATAATTAAAATTGCTCTAAGGATTTTGAAATATAACAATATGTCGTATATACAGCTTAATGATTAAGCCTTAAACTATTTATAATTACTAGATTATTATTTTATTACACGAAATACTTTCTAATAAATTTGGCTTGAAGTCCAATGCATTCGCATTTTTAATTTTTAAGAATGCTCAATACTAATATAACTTTAAATATCAAATAATCTTAAAAACATAAATGTCTGAGAGAATATTTCATATTAATCTATAATAAATGCCCAACTTTATAATGTTTAACATTGTTCATACTTGCTGCACTACTTCATAAACATCTGGAATAGTTATCTCCTTTTTTTTTGAAACACTTACATTTTTTTCAGTTTCATTTAATATTTGTTCATTTGCTTCTGATTGATTACCCTGAAAGCATAATAAATAACATGTGTTACCTAACATATTTTATTATATATAATTTTTTTACAGATAAGTATCTACATTAATTAACTAATACAAAAATATAAAGAAAATAGTAATACTTCATCAGTAGTTTTGCATTGAATTGGCGTATCTAGTGTATTATAGGAAGATTTCTGTTTTAATTTTTTTTGTCGTCTCAATAATGATTGATATAGTTTAAATTTGTCAGAGAAATTATCATTCACATCAAGTTTTTGTTGAACTGCCAAAAGACAATTATCAAGGAATTTCAATACATGATTGTTCTTTACCTGATAAMATGTAAATAATTAATTAAACATGTAGGTATTAGTAATTAACAATAATTTAATTTACTGCCATATGCTAATATAATATAATATTTAATTTACTTACATAAATAGTTTTAACATAATTATATGGTACATATCCTAAATCACCAGTATGGTTGATAACATAACACCAACTCTTTTTATCAGCAACATCTCGGTAAATGAAAAATTCATCATTCATTTTGAAATCTAGTGTTCTCTCAGATGAAGTATCTTTATAATCATACAATGCTTGAAGCATCACATAATCTAATCAATATATTGAATTAATTTGTATTAATTATGAGAATTATTAATTAAGAGTTATAATGATGATGATCATCAGCTATTCTTATTTTACTAAAACTTTGTCATAAATAAAATATATTTTATAACGTGATTTATATAAGTAATTTTGTTAAATAGAGAAATACAATAATGAAATTATTAATTTTGTAATAAAACTCTAGGCCTTGGAAATTAAAATAAATAATTGCAAATTTTTTATGTCTATAAAAAACTGTATAGCCACTGAAAATATTCAATATTAATTCTGTACTTCTGTAGTGATATTAGAGTGACATATCAAATAACATGTATACAATTATACCAAACTATGAAACATTACAAAGAAAAATGTCAGTATAAATATTAAACAATCAAAACAATATAACATAATGTTAACAAGTATACACAACTTTTACCAAAATAGCATAMAAAAATAGTGTTGGTTAATAGTATAGAAAATTTTAATAATATTAATTAATTATAATTCGTCTATAGCTTACTGCTTTCTGATGTATCGTTCATATTTTTCCTCCACGAAGTATAATTATAATATTCTTTATCATTTAAGATTTCATCAGGTTAGCTGATGACAGCTAGGCGTAGTCGCGTAGATGAATTTTTTTTTTAATAATACTAAAAAATATAATACACTATTTATTCGCACTAAACGTTATGGTTTATTTGACACGGACATAAAACCTTAAAACCATACTGTATTAAAAATTTAAAACAGCTACTACCATTAATGAAGTAACCGAATAACCAATCGATTACGAGTATGCGGCTTAATGAGAACTGAGTTGTTTACATAGATAATAAAGATATGGATAGGCTACGCCTATATTAAAATATATATTTGACTTATTTAAGACTGCATAGTGCATTCCCGGAGGAGAGGCGATTGAGGCCCTTTTATCAATGGTTTTATAATATTGATAGTCGATACTCGATTTAGGTATAATATTTAGCCTCAATATTGTACCCACGATTAAAGATATCTTTAATCGTGATTGTACCCCTTAATTCCAACTGATAAGACCGTTATGTCCTACCAGTCCTACCCATATCTTTATTATCTATGGTTATTTAAAAATGATTAAAACCGTAGATAAGAATTTAGATAATATTGAATAATATTGTAATCTGCAGAAACATCATGAATCATGATACACCATACACAACAATCACGGGCGTGCTCACGGGGTATGCAGGGTATGCGTTTGCATACCCTGCAGAGTGCAGGTAGACGCTTGGGAGCACATCAACAAATTAGTAACCAAAAGTGTAAGATGATAAAATGCTCATTAATTTTAGGATCATTTATATCTGTGGGAGAGGGGCATATTTTATCAGCCGCATAGGTACCCTGCAAACAGTGCAAACAAAGTCTGCGCACGCCTATGATTTTGAATAATTTGACGCATAGAGGTATTAGGGGTTCTCAATTCTGAAAACATAATCGTGTGACGTGTATACATTATATTATATTAAAGAAAACTAGTTAGTCGTGTTGATATGTATTATTACTACAACGACTGTACAATAAAATAAATTATAGGATTATGTTCTCTAAAGGTGGTTTCACACGACGCGAATGTTCGCGGAGCGAACGCGATTTTAAATCGCAGCGAACATTCGCTCAAAATTAAACATCTATATTTAAGTTACGGTTTTCAGACAGAAATAATCGCCTGGATACAAGTTGCGAACAATCGCGAAAAATCGGTCTTGTTTAAAGTTTAGTTTGGTAATTTTAGCATATTTACTGCAGACTGTTATGTAATGTATTGCAAGTTTCCACACCACCTTAGCTTATTAAACGATGACAATGTATRATATGTCGCATTTAATGTCACATGAGGTATTGCAAGAGGCGCGTTTTTTTTATTGTGGTGTCCCCATGTAGGCCTATTCCACAAAGAGGAGAATGGGAGTGAACTGCCGGCCAACTCAAATAAGACAAACTGAGAAACCGTAAGAAATGTATTAAGTCATATCATTATTTTGGCCAATATAATAATGCAGATTAATATAAATATAAAGATGATTTAATHATGTATCTTTTTGCTAACCACAATTCTCCCTATGTCTCCTGTACCGTATTAAATTCAAAACGTGGATATCGTTATCGGTAGTCCTTAAAACGCTTAACGCGAGACCAAAGAAAATAATTACAAAATAAATGTATTCTATATACACAAAATAAATAATTAGTTAT